TGTGTGTGTGTGTGTGTGTGTGTGTGTGTGTGTGTGTGTGTGTGTGTACGGGGTGGGTACAGGTGTTTGTGAATCCTGGACTGTGTGCGGGAAGGGGGCTAGGTGAGTGTTTGTGATGGTAACAGTAGGAGTGTGCATGCATGTGGTGCCCATGGCCCAGCTGGCATGTTCATCTCCTGTGTGAAAGAAGACAGAGAACAGGGTCTTTCTCAGCCCCATTACAGAGCAGGGCTAAAGTCAGCAGACAGTGGGATCCAGATATTCTGGCAATACTGAGAAGGCTGGATCAGGGGATGGAGGGAGAAGGGAGATCCTGGAAAGAGAAGAGGAGATGGCATCGGTGGGGGAAGGGATTCGAGGGGGCGGGGCTCTGACCAGCCATTCCCCTCCCTCACCCAGTTGTCTGAGCCAAGCCTGGCTGCTCCCTCTCTTTGTTGGCAGGGGTCTGAGGGTCGTTCAGGGGCTCATGGGCCAGCCATGTGAGCTTGGAATGGACCCAGAGTCAGTGCCTGCACCCCTGGGTCTAGGGCTCCCAGGGGAAGGACCCCCAACTCAGTAGCCAGAGGGCCCAGGACAGTATCTTCTCTCTGATGGGGGCACTCCATTGGTCCTTGGCAGCCCTGGGTGTGATGGGCAGCCATTGGTCTACTCTGGGAAGCCGGAATCTAGGGACGACAGACATCCCTAGCTTGGGGGTCTCTCCAACCTACCACAAGCAACCCAGCCCAGCCACTCCCCCCTCCACGCACACAGAGGGCAGTTCTAGCCTCACTGGGCAGCTGAGCCCTGCCCTCTCTCTGTCTGTCTCTCTGTCTCTCTCTATCTCTCTCTCTCTCTCTCTCTCTCTCACACACACACACACACACACACACACACACACACACACACACACACACACACACACACAGAGCAGCTCTAGCCTCACTAGGCAGCCCAGCCCAGCCTGATGCTCTGGCCAAGGCCTCTTGTGGAGAGGACCCAAGAGCACACTGCAGGGGTCCCACTGGGCTGACGCTTTGGTGCCCAGCTCCTAGGGACTCAGGGAAGAGGGCAGAGATGGATAATAACAAGGAGTTTGAGAAGTCAAATGAGCTGAAAATTTCCTTGTAGATCCTGTTAGTGGAGAGAGAGTGGCCCAGAGGAAGACCTGGAGTCAGGAGGACCTGGGTTCAAATCCTGCCAACAACAACTTCCTAGCTGTGTGACCTGGACGAGTCATTCGACCTCTGTCTGCCTCAGTTTCCTTCTTTGTAAAATGAAGGGATTGGACTCCATGGCTACCAAGGTCCTTCCAGCTCAATATCTTGGGTACTATGAACACACTACCAAGACCCTGGGCCGATTTTCTCCTTTCTCCAGGAAAGAAAGGTTAAAGATGAGGGGGAGGGCCCAGAGACCCTTGCAGCCAAGGTTTCCTGCCCCCCAAAGGTGCTGGCATCCCTCCCCCAAAACCCAGAGAGAGTGCGTTAACCCCAGAGTAGGCACCTGTGAGTTAGACAGGAAAATCGCCCATTCCTGCCCCCCTCCCTACCCCAGGCACCTTCCACCCTTCAAGGCATCTTCAGGCTCTCCTGGAGGACCATGGTGGAGCCAGAGGTGTCTTCGTTGTTCCTTGTCTGGAGTATGGAGGAAACGAACGGGGGCAGGGCGCCCATCAGAATGATGTCCCTCCTCCCATCTCCCAGCAGTGCCCTGGCACATGGGGCAGCTCTGAGGCTCAGGGGCAGGGGCAGCACAGAGGTGCAAGGTATGGTGGCGGGGGTCAGGAAAGAGGGGACCTCCTCCTTGGGGAATGGCATAGGGGGCTAGCATGGGACATGGCCCTGTCCTCCCTTATAGGCTCCACCGTCTCCTCACCAGAATGTGTGTACGTGTGCGTGTGCGTGCATGTGTGTGTGCACTGTGTACCTATGTGCATATGCGTGAACGTGCATTGTGTGAGCACATGTGCATGCGTGTGTGTACATTGTGCACTTGTGTGCACGCGCGTATATGCGCGAGCACATGTTGCGCGTGTGCGTGTGCACGCATATGCATGCACCGCACACGTGCATATACGTGTGAACGTGCACCGCAGTGTGCACACACACGCACACACGCGCATTGTGAACATGTGTTCATGCGTGTGAGAGCATGTGTTATGTGTGTGTGCATGCGTGTGTGCACGTGTGTGTCTGCAGCAGCAGCATGAACCCTGCGGGGTGAGGGCTGGCAGCTGGGTCAGGGGCGGCTGGGCAGGTACTCACAGGCCCCTGGACCGCGTCTGCCTCGGCGTACTTGAATTTCTTCTGCTGGTAGTAGTGGCGCTTGGGCAGGATGTGCAGCAGTAGCAGGTCGCAGAGCACGGTGGCCTGGGAGGCGGGCACAGAAGGGCATGGGCATCAGTGGCTCCAAAGCCCTGGGCACTGGGGGCTAGGGGCAGACCAAGCACCCAGAGGCTGGCTGGCGCCTCCCTGACTCCTGGCCTGGTTTCCCGGCTGTCTGGGCAGCTCTCAGCCCTGAGCTCCCCAGGCTCCCCAGGCGCCCATCTCCCCTCTCCCACCACCCCTTCCCCCAGGTCCTGGGGGGCTGCTGATAAGTCAGGAGCAGGGGTGTGACCGGGCAGTGCTGTGCCTGGCTGCTGTGCGGACCACGGTCTGGATGGGAGACTGCATAAACGTAGCCACTGACACTCATCCCCATTTGACAGATGAGGAAACCAAGTCTTGGCGAGGCGTCAGGCTGACTCAGCAGGGCGGGCGCCTCACCAGAGTCAGCCCTTAATTGGGGCAAACTCAGGGACGAGAGGCGTGGGCCAGCCGGCCCTACGGTGGCCTGGCTTTCAGGAGTCTGTGGGAGGCGCTCCCCGTTTCTGCTCTGTGGAGAGCTTTGCTGGCATCTATTTACTCAGGCTCTCCCGGTCAGGAAGCTCTGACCTCCAGCCCCAGTTCTCCTTGCTGTCCCATCGCCGCCCTCTCCTCCTGGTTCTGGCCCCAGAGCCGACTGTGGCCCTAATCTTGAGCCTCCAGCACAAAGCCTAGGCCCTGTTCCGTGGGGCGGCCATCCTTGGGGCAGGGCTCCTCGTCCCTTCTCCCGTCTGCCACGACCTGGCGGGGTGAGAGAGTGGGTGCCCAGGAGATGGTTGTCCTTTCCCGTTTGGACAGGGCTGTTTGCCCGGCGTCTCCCCACTAGATTGGAAGCTCCTCGCGGGCAGGGCTGTCTGTTGCCTTTCTTTGTATGCCCAGAGCTTAGCAGGGTACAGAGTAGGTGTTTAATTAATGCTTATTTCCTGGCTGGCTGCTTTCTGCAGCAGACCACGGCATTAGCCGGGACCATTGTCTAACACTACCTCCACGGAGAAGTGGGGCCCTGAGATGGAATCCAAGCTCAGCTAATTCCTAGCTGTGTAACTGGGGGCACATATGGCCTCTGTCCAGGCCTCAGTGTCCTCATCTCTAAAATGGGGATAGGCCACACTACAGGTGCTTGGGAGGAAGATACTTGGCAGACCTTCAAGGGCTTGAGAGGCAGAGACGCTCCCGGCTGTTACTCTTAACATGACTGAGGCTCTGCTTGCCAGGGGATCAGGAAGGCTGGAAGGGATTTCCGAGCCTGGCCAGCTGGCTCAACTCATTCCTCTTGGGCAGTGCTCCCCCTTGTGGACATAGTGGCCGCCCACGACATTGTGATTCCCAGAACCTGGGCCGCTGCTGGCCTCACAGCAGGAACCCAGGGACCCCTGAGGCTCTCACTGTCGAGGGACGGGAGGGAGCAGCCGGGGGGGAGTGCTGCTGAGTGAGAGCCCCTCTCTGGCCAAGGCTGGAGATAAGCGCACCCCTCTTGTCTCTGAGACCTGCCAGAAGCCCAGACCCTCTTCCATTCAATCCCAGCCTTGGAGAGGACAATCTGAGGTCATTCAGGACTCTCCCCTGTCCAGCCTCTCCCTCTTTCTGCCTAGGGCATCACCATCCTTCCGGGCCCTCAGAGTCATTCTTGACTCTCCCCTCTCCCTCACCCCCTAAGTCTCCCCGACTGCCGAGATGCATCATCCATTTTCGCTGATCCACATTCCCTGCATCTCTCAGCTCTCCATCTCGTGCCTCCTGGACTATTGCGCTAACCCAGTCCCGCTTGGGCTCCATGTCCTGGGCTCTCCCCTCCACACAGCCACCAAGAGGAGAGTCCAAAAGCAGGCCTAGCCACATGAGCCCTTGCTCATGAAGCTGCCATGGCTCCCTACTGCTCCTGGGCTTGGCGTTCAAAGCCTTCCCCATCAGCCTGTCTTTCCAGGCTGATGGCTCACAACTCGCCCTCGTCCGCTCGCCCTCAGCCCAACTTCCTGGTGGGATGGCCTCCCCTAGCCCCCTCCCCCTCCTCCAATGCCCGACACTGCCCTCAGCAGCTTCTCCCCGTCCGTGGCTGTCCACCCTCTCTGAGGACCCTGCCAACACCACAAACCGTACTGGGGGCACTCCTGGAATGCCACCCCCTCCAAGCTGGCAGAGCTCCTCAGGGGCTTAGTCAGACTTCCGCAGCCTCCCCAGCATGGTCGACCAGCCTCTGCTTGGAGCCCTCCAGTGACGGGGAGCTCACCCCTTCCAGAGGCAGCCCTCGTACTGAGGAAGTCTGCCCTGACCTTGAGACCAGGCTGCACTCTGCCACATCTCCCCCATTGTGGCTCCTGGGTCTGGCCGCCTGGGCCAAGCAGACCCCACGAATGGCGGCCCTTTAGATTGTGGGAGGCGCTAGAATGACCCTTCTAAGTCTTCGCTTCATGCTGAGCTCCTTCATCCAGTGCTCACTGGGCACAGCCCAAGGCCTTTGTCCCTGGGGATTGCCCCCAGCCCTCCCATTCAGGCCCTTCCAGGGCAGAACGCAGCTGGGGGGGCATCGCTCCCTCCATAGTCCTGGAAGCCTCCTCCTCCGTCAAGTTCTCCATGCCTGGGCTTTCCTAATTCAAAGGTCACCTCTTCCAGGAAGCCTGCCCTGATCCCTGGGTCAGTAGCAACCTTCTCCCTTGGGTCCCATGAAACCCTTGGTCCAGACTTGTCTAAAGCGCACAGCCATCTTGCACCCCCTTGCTGACTGGGAGCTCACTGAGGGCGGGACGATGCCTTGCCTAAACATCGTGCCTCCCTCAGCACAAAGCCAGGGCTCCGCCTTGCCCATACCCGATATCTGGGGAGCGTTATCCACCCAAAGCAAGCGGTCAGGATTGCCAAGGAGGGAGGGGGCGCTGTCCATCTAGTGAGTTCCTGCCTCCTCATGCCCAGCCGGGAGCTCAGCTCAAGAGGAGACAGACGTGGTCTCTGCTGTTGGGGAGCTTTCCAACTGGCCCAACTCAGGGACATGTGAGTCAAGCACTGTTACCATCTGGCCCTCAGCTCTCACGCTGGCCCCTCTCCTGCTTCTCTAAGACCCCCGGCAGGCCTTAGAGACAAGAGGGGTGTGCTTATCTCCGGACGAGGGTGGGGGCACGTGGCTCCTCCTCCCCTCTCCCCGCTGCCACCTGCACTCACCACACCAAAGATTCCGATCCCGGACCCAATGGTTGTCATTGTGGGGATGATGTCAAATTTGCCCGCCTGTGGAGAGAGACAAAAGGTGAAAAAAAGACCCCTAAATCACAGGGTTAGAGAGACTTAGTCTGGCCCCTCCATTTGCAGAGGAGAGGAAGTCAAGAGACTTGCCCAAGGTCACACAGGGAGTAAATGACAGGCAAGATTCAAACCCAGGTTCCTGACTCCGTGTCAAATATCACATATAAAAATGTTCATAATGGAGGCGGCAGGGTCTTGGATGGTGCCAATGACCACGGAGGCTCTTTCCTGGGAAGCTTGGGCTCCTTATGCCCTTGGGACCAGTCCCTGTGGACCCCAATCCTCCCCTGTCCTCCCTGCCGCGGGCTTGTGAACAGGAGGTTGGGGGATGAAGGCATGGGAGAGTGAAAAGAGCTGGCCATTGAGGGAAGTGGACCTCGGCTAAAATTCTGCCTCTGTTGCCTACTCTGTGGCTCCAGTGCGGGCCTCAGCTTCCACATCTGTAAAATGGGTGGCTTAGACTAGAGCCCATCAATGGGCCCTTCTAGCTCCAAATCGATGTCCCTATGGCTGTCACTCCCCCAGCAATAGTCAGTCAGAAGCCCCGAGGGTCCCCAGCTGGGCTTGAGGCTCTCACTTGGAGCTCTGGGGCGGCCCCCCCAATCTCCACTTCTCCCTCTCCTTGAGGGGCAACTGGGTGCCATGGAGCGCTTCCCCCCTGAGACCGAGGCAGGTGGGGCCACCTCTGGGCGCCATCCCCAGCAGACTCACCTGGCCATCCACCAGGATGTCAAAGCGGATGCCAAATACCTTGAACAGGTGCCGGTGGGGGGTCCCATTCTCCACGTAATAGCGGGCAAACCTGGGAGGGGGAAGGAGTGGTCAGGAGGGGCCAGACCTGTAACATTCTGGACCTCAGAGATGCCCCCACCAGGTAGGGGGCTGCCATTTTCTCCTTGGGTTAATGGGTGGATGTGAAAAACGCTTCCTCGTTTCTTGATCACTCTACCCTTTCCAGGGCATTTTTCCATCCACTCACCGGACGACGTCCGCGGGGGCCCCGGGCTCCCCATTCCCAGACATCAAGCATTCCGGGGGCATTTCAAGGATCAAACGAAGGGCGGACAGCCCAAGTCTGGCCCATCCCGGGGCTCTACAGATGCAGCGGCGGCTGCTCGCTCTGGCCCCACTCAGGGGTGCCCCTCGCCCGGCCCGGCCCCTCTGGGACCCACACCTGAAGTTAAAGCCTGGGGACAGGTTGTTTTCTTCGTTGTACAGGCTGTGAAACTCGTAGACGGGCTTGCAATGCCGCACGGTCCAGTCCAGGTCACAGTCCCAGTCAATAGTGATACCGACCACTCCTCCCTGTTGGGGAAACCAGAAGACTTTGGAAGGCCTCCTGCCCTGATCTAGAACCCTGAGTTGGGGCCGTGTTCCAGACAGAGACGTACGGGAGAGGCCAGAGCCCAGGATGCAAGGTCAGGGCACCCAAGGGCTCCAGTCCCACCATGGACTCTTCTTAGCTCGGGGAGCCTGGGCCTCTGAGCCTCAGTTTCCCCACACAAAATGAGCATGAAGTAGCCACCTCCCTGAGCTGTGATGAAAATGGTGGTCAAGTTTGTTAAGAGCAGAAAAAGCACATTTGTGACCGTTAGCTGGAATGACTGTGGTATGGAGCTCAGGACTTGGGAAGCAGCTGCTTGTGGGAAGACCAGCTCCCCAGATGTCCCAAGGGCCAAGATGGCATCGGGGCAGTGGGAGCCGGCTTGCCTGGATATGTAGAGAAGCTAGTGAGATGCAGTGTGGGGCAGAGCTCAGACAGCCACACCGGGAGTGGGGGGCAGGAACCGGGATGGCGGGGGCATGGACCTGCACTGCTGACCGGGCTCATCACCTCCAATTTCCCCACCAGCCTTCATCTCCCCTCCCGTGGGAAGTGGGAGGCCAGAGCACCAAACTCCTCCCAATGCAGAAACTGGCCTCTCAGGTCACCCCACCTTGCACCTACTGCTCCGGCTGGCTTTAGCTCCATGGAACAAGATGCTGGGCCCCCCGGGCGCCCCCACCCCTTTCCTGCCTCCTTTCATGTGTTGTCTCAGGGCCAGGATCGCCTTCCTTCTATTAATTGCATCCCCAGTGCTTAGCACAGGGCCTGGGGCATAGTAGGCACCTAACGAATGTTAGAGTTGGGTGGGGATAGTGGGTGACCTGCAACTGTCAGCAGTGAGGGACCCCCAGACCTGCTAACGCCTTGTCCTTCCTGCCGCCTTTCCTGTCCCTCCAGAGAGAAGCACCTGCCAGGCCAGCCTCCCCCTCCCTCCCATCCTCCAAAATATCCTGGTTTTCACCCCCTCTCCCTGGCAACTAGACCCAGCAGACAGACCACCCGGCTGACCAAGGGACCTCAAGCTTCCTTTGTCTCCTTCACTGTTTTCAAAAGCGTAGATATAAGTCCTAAAGGTCAGTGATACTGATTCAGCATGGTGACCATGCATACAAGAAGTAGACAGAGGCAGAGACAGAGAGACAGAGAGATGAGAGAGAGAGACAGAATCAGAGACAGAGCTCAGAGACAGAGAGATGGGAAAAAGGGAGAGACCAAGACCCAGAGACAGAGAAGAGAAAAGAGAGAGAGACAAAGTGTCAGAGGCAGAGATCAGAGATCAGAGACAGAGAGATGAGAAAGAGACAAAGACTCTTCCTGTAAAAGGGACAGGAGCCCAAGCAAGGGGAGGGACGAGGTGGCACCACAGAGACAGTGCCTATAGATCTTGCTGTCTCCCTTGCAGAGAACACCCAGGAGTCCAGGCCCCCCCGACCTTCCCCAGACTTTGAGCTGAGAGTCACAGGCCAGTGGCGGGAGGAGAGGGCCGCCCCTTTGCCCTGAGGGCCTGGCAGCTGCTTCTGCTGTGGAATGAAGGTTGGGTTATCAGAGTCATTCGAGGCGGAGGGGAGGAAGGGGGAGGGGTCCTCTGCAGGCGCCCTCTTCAGTGCCTGGCTGCTGGCTCCTGGCCTCACCCTTGAGCTCCCCCATCCTGAGCCAGCCTGGCCAAACATCCCCAGCAGAGTGTGGGAGGCACCAGAGAGGCCTTCTGCTGCTTACTGCAGAGCCTGGGCTTCCCTTGGGGGTTGTGAGCATTCTCTAGGCATTTACCAATTTTTCTGGCCCCCCTGTGTGCCTAGCCCTGTGCTTGGCTAGACTGAGGGGATGGGAGGGAGAAGAGGAGGAGAGAAGACCCCGCCCCTGCCCCAGTGACCCCGGAGTCTGGAGACAAGGGAGGCTGCCTGACCCTTTGTCAGGGCTCCTGCCGAAGGCCTCCTTCTGTTCTGGAGCCGAAGCCCCTTCCCACTCTCCAGCTCTGGGACCCTGTAATTTTGTCCCACTCACTCATTTTCCAAATGAGGAAACTGAAGAAGGCCCCGGAAGGGAAGGGTGTGGGATTCAAACTCAGGCCCTCAGATTGGAATCCACCTTCCCTCGACAGCAGGGCAGGGATGGGGCTCCCCAAACACGGGGGATGTGCTTAGGGATGAGCCTCCTGCGTGAAAGTGTTCCTGATGCGGCCCCGAAGGCCTGCTCAGCACAAAACAGGGGCCGCTACTGGACGCAGAGGAGGGAGAGAGAATGGGGGACACTCACTCTCTCTCTTCCCCTGTCTCCTCTTTCTCTCTTCCTCCTCTCTCTCTCTCTCTCTCTCTCTCTCCCCCCCCCCCTCCCCTCCCCCCCCCCCCCCACCACAGAGGCCTCTCTGTACCTTCACAGCCAAGGTGCTGAAGTTCTGGCCCGAATAGCTCACGATGGTGCCCAGCTCGAAAATGGGGCACAGGGGGTCCCTGTTCTTGTGGTACACACAGCTCCTGAGGTATTGCTTGTTCACTGTTTCCACCAGGTTTCTTCTGCAGGGAGAAAAGACAGCGCGCTGGCCCGGGAGCAGAGGAGGCTGAGGATGGGGACGAGAAGCTCAGGGAGTGGCCTCTTCCCCTGTGCCACCCCCCTCGGCCCCCCCAGCCCAATGGGTGGAGGAGGGGCTCCTGGGGTGGGAGGCAGCCTTTCTCTGGCCCAGAAAAAAACTCGCTGCTGCATCACGTGCGGTGAATACTCGTCCATTTACCTGTTTACTTTGAACCGGGGAAAGCTGATGCTGTTCTTAATGAAGAGGGTGAAGGTTTCTGCCTCCCTCAGGAGGGCTGGGCTGAAAGAGACCCGTCTGTCCTTCAGCTCCCTCTTGGCCCATTGTGTCCTCTCCTCGTCCTCTCTGTCCTCCCCCTCCCCCTCCCCCTCCCCTCCCCCTCCTCCTCCTCTTCCTCTCAGGTACAGCCCCACTGCATTAATGCTTTCAAAACCCTCACAACCTAAGTTAGCTCTTTGGATCCTCAACCACGACTGTGGGAGAGAATGCGGTATTCCTGTCCCCATTTTACAGAGAAAAACACTGGGGATCAGAGATTACCAATGAAGTGTCCAAGGGGGCAAAGCATGCAGCTACTTCATACGGTGTCAGGCACCTGTTGCTCAGTTGTGTCTGACTCTTGGGACCCCTTTTGGGGGTTTTCTGGGCAGAGATACTGGAGCGGGTTGCCGTTTCCTTCTCCAGTTCATTTTACAGATGAGGAAACTGAGGCAGACAGGGTGAAGTGACTTGCCCAGGGTCACCCAGCTAGGAAGCGTCTGAGGCCAGATTGGAACTCAGGAAGAGGAGTCTTGCAGACTCTAAGCCCAGTGCTCTATGCACTGTGGCGCCCCCTAGTGGCCTGCCAGGCACCTCGTAAGCGCTTCACTGACCGTACAGCTTGGCACAGTCAGAGCCGTTGCCCACGCAGGGTGGCAGCCTGGGGAAGCGGCTCTAAGAGGCAGAGAGCCACTCAGGGGGACGTTGTAGAGGGAGGGCGTGGCTGGGCAGGACCCCCTCTCTGATGGCTCCTTCTCGCCCTGCTGCCTTCCAGCGGGCCCAGGTCTCCTCTATCTTAGAAAGCTCTCCCTAGACCCCAGCAGCCTCACGCCATCATCCTCCACCGCTCCCCGCTTCCCAGCCAAACTCCCTCCTGGCCTTGGCCAGCTGCCTCCCTGAGAATAAACTGGGATGAAACCAGCCACTCTCTCTGGCCACATGGCATTCCTTCTGAACGTTCACGGGAGCACGGATTTAGATCTGGAAGGGGCCTTATAGGGCATTCCCCCATACCTCCTCATTTGACAGATGAGGAAACTGAGACACGGGGAGGTAAGTGACTGGCTTAGGACCACACAACTGGTACTAGTCTGGTTCAAACCCTGGTCCTCCAGGCTGCCTCTCCAATTGTTTTGAAATGTGTCCTTTTGATTGTGCCCGAACCCCAGCAGGGGTGAGGATGGGGGCGCATGACAGCCACCCCCACCTGGTCTGGGCCTTCACCCCTGAACCCCCCACCCTCTGGGTTTCCAGTGTCCAGGCCAGCGGACTCGGGCACCAGCTCCCGACCTTGTCTTCCCTCTACAGGGTTTTGCCTCTGCTTGACCCCTCGTTCCATTCCTTCGCTCTCTCTAGACTGGGACCCCAGCCAGCGTCCTGCAGGGCACTCCCTTCCCTCCGCCTTGCCTCACTTTGGGCAAGGCCAGCTCCTCTCCAGTTGAGACAGAAACCATTGATGACCTCTGAACTGGCCCGGTCCCAACGGCCCTCTCTGGCAACACCATTCCCTGCCCCCCCCCCGCTGGGGGGAGGGGCGGCTATCAGGTACCGGAGAGTGGCTGAGCCTTGCTCCTCTCTAATGTGGCCAGGGTGGCAGCCGTCTGCTCCTCCTGTCCTTGATGCCCCAGACCACCACCCGGGGTGGTGCCAGCCTCCCAGGGGACCTGAGTCCCGACTCTCATCCCACTCCCCACTTTTACAGGGGAAGAAACTCTGCGTGGGGATGGGGTGCAAAGCTCATTCCAGGGCCATCTTTGAATGCATTTTCCCAACATTGAGTTTAGCACTTCATGCATAGTAGGTGCTGTGTAAATGGAGAATGAATGAATGAGTGAGTGAGTGAATGAATGAGTGAATGGAGTGAATGAGTAAGTGAATGAATGAATGAGTGAGTGAATGAGTAAGTGAATGGATGAATGAGTGAGTGAGTGAACGAATGGAGTGAATGAGTGAGTGAACGAGGTGCCTGGCCTACGTTGCACTCTTAACTGTGAGACCAGCCTGGAAGCCGGGTCTCCTGACTGCCCAGGGCAGTGCTCATTCCCTACAGCCTCATCCTCCCAGTACTCAAAATTGGGCAGCAAGGTTGACATCAGCCAGGCTTCTCTCCAGTCTGGGGGTCACCAGGGGCCTGGGGCTCCAGTGAAGACCTCACCATAAGGAAGGCAGGCCAGGGTTTCTGTGGGCACCTCCCTTCCCTACCCCAGGGGTCCGGGACTGGAGGAGAAGGGAAAGGCAAGTGGCCAAAGGCCAAAGGTAGGGCCTAGACTCAGCTGCAACCCTCACCACCTAGGAAACAAATCCACTGACCTTGGGGAAGGGCGGAGCTGGCCAGAATGGTCCTCCTGGAATGATCCTCCCTGAGATACCCTACCCCACCCCCATCCCCACCAGACCCACCCGAGAAAAAGGGGCCAAGGCAGCAAGGCTCCTCTTCTGGGGCCCCACCTCCCTTTGGGGCTCAATCCTCTTCGATGTCTCCGATAAAAGCGGGCTTAGAGAGCTCGCAGGGTCCAGCCACCCAAGTACTCACACTATACCTGGCTTCCAGGAAGTTTTTCAGCTCATCAGTTCCCCCAGCCCTCATTGCTCGTCTCTCTTCTCTCCTACAACCTGCCATAGCCCAGCTCGGTTGACTTAAAGATTGAGGGGGAAATTCTTCCCAGTGGCTGTTCAACCCTGGGCAAGTCCCTTAACTGCTGCCTACCTCAGTTTCTTCAACTGTAAAATGGGGATGACAATAGCACCCACTTCCCAGGACTGTTGTGAGGCTCAAAAGAGACCACTTTGTAAAGCGCTCAGCAGGGTGCCTGGCACACAGTAGAAACAATAAATGTTTCCTCCCTTTTTTCCTTCCTCCTTCCTTCTTTCCTTCCTTCCTTATTTTTTTTTTTAAAGAGAAGCTCAAAAAAGGCGCTAGAGGGGTCAAAGAAACCAAACTCTCCAGATGGCATTTGCAGCACTGTAATGGGCAGAGGGTCATGCAAGGGCCTTCCTGGGCCCTCCTGTCACACGCTGTGGCCCCTTTAGAACAAGATCAAACGTCCCACCAAAAGTCAGTAACTTAGGCCGAATTTGAACTCAGATCCCCTCACTCCTCTCAAAACCCTGTACTCCTCTTCCTATTCATCCGGCTCCTCCTGATACAAGTGAGGTGGGGGGGGGTACTTTGGGAGAGGATCTAAGTCCTAAAGGAAAAGACCTTCCCCCCCATGTGCCCTCCTGTTCCCCTCCCTCCTTCCCTCCCCCCCAATCTCCACATTCTTTGAAGGTCCTTACTCTGGAATGTGATCGTCCACTTCCACTGGGCACCAGCCGAGGATTTCGCAGGTCTTGACTGTGCTGTTAAAATCCACACACTTGCCGGTCCGGATGCCTGCGGAAAAGGAGGGAGGGGGGTCCTGAATGCCTCAGGCTGAGCAGCTAGAAACAATGGGGGCCCCACCCCCTCCGCAGACTGGGAATCAGGTGGAGGTGGGGCTTTGTCCCAGGTACTTAATCCCTCGGGATACTCCTCCTCACACTGGGCAGGGGGCCCCCTTAGCCAGGCACAGCTTGGGCTAGATGGAGACCCTTGCAGTCTGGCCTCCTGGGGAAAAGTGCATGGCCCACCTAAGGCCATTCTCTCTGGGACTGCTCTTTGGATAACAGAAGGATGGGGGGAAAGAGAAAGGGAGGAAAGACAAGCGATGGACCAGGAGGAGGGGGAAGGAGGGGGAAGGAGGAGAGGGGAGGAGGGAGCAAAGGAGAGAGGAGGAGGGCGGGAGGAAAGAGAAGAGATGGACCAGGAGAACGGGGAAGGGGGAGGAAGAGGGGAGCAGGGAGGGGGAACCGTGGGGTGTGAGCTGCCCATAGTGTGGGCATTGCTCACTCAGGGGCCTGTGTACTCCAAGGACCAGGCTGGACGGTCCCTGATGCATGGGGAGAACATGCTAAGGTTCTCAGGCCCACCGTGAACATGAAGCCGCAGCCACATCCTGCACGAGAGAGCCAGAGCCGTAGGCCAGGCCTGACCTCGGCTGCCTTGGGGGGCAGGGTGGGGCAGGGGACCTCTCTTACCGTGGCCCTTTCGTTTGGGTTTTCCTGCTGGGCAACCGCTATCATCCTGACATATCCCTCCATCTGGATTCTGAAAGCATTAAGCAGTGCTCACATCAGGAGAGAAAGAACACCCCCTGCTCCCCCAGGCTCCTCTGGGGGTCATTCCTGAGACTGCCGCTGAAGGTGATGAACTCCCCATCCTACAGGTATTCAAGATCAAATGACTGCTTGCCAGACACAGTGTCGAGGGAGCTCTGGCCCCGATGCTCCCGAGGGTCCTCCCAGCCCTGAGAGACTGTGGTCCCCAGGCGAATACCCCAGGCCACCTCAAACGTGTTTGGGCCAGACCCCTGGGCCAGAGGCAGGAAAATCCCAAAATTTCCCGAAGGTTCTGGGGTTGAGAGCATGTTAATCACCCTCCCAGCTTCTGCCCCCACCGCCAAGCATAGCAGCACTTGGAATCACTCACTCTGCTCCTTATGAGGCTCAAGTATACAGTGCATGCTAAATGCCAAAAAAGAACTCTGCGTGTACTGTCTACTCTAGCCTCATAACAACCCTATAAGGTAGGTGCTGTTACAAACACCCCCATTTTACAGACAGGGAAACTGAGGCTGACAAAGGTTAAGGGATTTGCTCAGAGTCACACAGCTAGGAAGTGTCTAAGACGGGATTCCAACTTAGGTCTTTTTGAGTCCAGGGCCAGCATTTTAACTCCTAGAAGGGAGCCCCAGAATGGTAAATGCAGAGCCACTCCCTGGTTCTTCTGAGCCTGACTGACCCAAGGTCCCACAGTAGATGAGGGGCAGAGCCCGGCACCCCCAAATCCGGTGCCCTCCGCCACTGTAGACAGGCAAGCGGGGGCCCTTTGTGAGCTAGTGAGGTCTGGATTATCTGTGTACTTGGTTGAGTCAGGCTTCCTGTCCCTAAAAGTCCAGGGGCTCAGGTAAGGCGGGGTATCTGCCCAGCCCCTGTGGAGCGTCTGCACACTCAAATCCAAGCTTCTCAAATTGAGAATTCTGAGCCAAGGCGTGAGTCTCCTTTCCCAAAACTGAACTGGAAAGCTCAGCACCGGTGTGGCTGAATGTACAGGCCGTGGCCAGACAATTTTGGGGTCCCAGAGGAGAGCCCTGCAGCCCACATGCCTTCTGCACGGGTCCTTACATCAGCACAGCTCCCTTGAACCTGCCTGGGCGTCACAATGAGGTTGGTGATCACCACGAAAGAGCTGGCCCCCTAGGAGGAAGAAAATGCAATTGGGGGTCAGGGTGCTGGGGCTGCCACTCTGCTATCCCCTATAGAAGACAGCGGATGGGGGAGGGGGCTCTGGGTCCCATAGCCAGGTCTTAATGCCTGGGTCTGGAACTCAAATTCCTGCCACGGGGAGGAGATGGGAGGTACAGGGTTAGTGAGAGTTCTGACGGGTCAAGAGGTTCCTAGATTTTGGGATGTGGAGCTTGTGAGGGATGGGGGAGGGCTTGCTGAAGAAAAGGAATGCCCTAATTTGGGGGATGGGAGCCTCTTCTTCCACCTGTCTCCCTTCACCTTTCTCTCCCAGTTGAGCCCAGGCCTAGAAGTCCCTACTCATCTGCTGCTCATACCCAAGAGGGGTCCACGGACCTCTCCCGTTTACCCCAGTGCGAGCTGCAGGGAGCAGGCTGGTAACCCAAAGCTGGGGTTGGCACTTATCTACAAGGTTTCTTGGCATTCAAGTCAAGGGAAAATTCTCAGCCCTGGAAGAGGGGAACTCTGAAAGGGAGAGAGGAGTGGCCGGGCTGAGAGCCTCTGGGCAGTGTGGAGCCTGAGGGAAGCCAGGGAGGAAGGAGTGGGCTGCTGGCCCTCCTGGCCATCTCTTCAGTGTCCGTTGGAAAAGTCCAGAGCTGGCCCAGGCAATGGGAGCCCATATCATGAAGGCAAACAGGGGCTAGCTGGGGTTGAAGTGGGGTAGCTGAGGGAGAAGGGAGGTCAGGACCTAGGTGGGGTTGAGGGGTCTTCTGCTCTCTCCCCTCAGAGAGGACACAAGCCACACCTCCTCCTTCCCTTCTTCCTTTCCCCAGACGAATCACGGAGTCGGGTGTGAGATCTCGGCTGGGGAAGAGAAGCTAGTACTCAGAGAGGGGGGGGGGGCTGTGAGGGCATCATCCAGGGTGTGGCCAGAGCTAGGATCTGATTGGGCTCAGGTCTGCACTTGGTGCTGGGACTTTGTCAGGACCCCTCCCATCCCCCTTCCTCAGGGGGTCCCCCCGCCCTCCACCCAGACTCACGGTTGGCGGAGGATGCAGGAGGACACATCCATGGGAAGCGCCAGCCTGGCCCCCTAACAAAGTCATGACCCCCAGCAGGCACCCCAATCTCCGGCCCCTCACGGACCTTCTCACTCACCTGTGCTGGGAACACGTAGTCTGCGACGTCCCAGACCTGTAAGCCTAGGCCAGAGATGTTGGTCACCGCCAGGCCCTTGAGTTTCACTGACACTGAACTGATGAGACCGTCAGTTGTCTGGTAGCCCTTCTCAAAAAGAAAGACCCACCTGCGGACAGTAACGTGTCCATGGGTGTCATGTAAGTGCCTGGGAAACCACCCAGAACCCCTCACATTGGGCACTGCCCTACACGCATCCTTGAAGCAGAAAAGAAATCCTGAGGGGGCATCTGGGTCAACTAGGGGCACTGAGGTCAGAAGATCTGAGTTTGAATCCAGCCTCAGACACTTACTAGCTGGGTGACCCTGGCCAAGTCACTTCACCCTGTTTGCCTCAGTTTCCTCATCTGTAAAATGAGTTGGACAAGGAAATGGCAAACCCCTCCAATATCTCTGCCAGGAAAACCCCAAAAGGAGTCACCAGGAGTCAGACACGACTGAAACGACTGAACAGCAAGAAGACCCTGGGCAAGTCCCGTCACCTCTGGTTAACACAGGGCCTGGCACACAGGCTTAATCAATGGTGCTTAATAAATGCTTGTTTCTTTTTCCTCCATGAAACTAAATGGTCAGAGTATTTGCCTTGGAGTTAGAAAGACCTGAGTTCAAATCTGGCCTTAGTCCCTAGGCATATGACCTTGGGTAAGTCATTTAACCTCTGCCTGCCTCCATTTTCTCATCTGTAAAGTGCAGATAATAACTGCACCTACCTCACAGGGCTGTCGTGAGGATCAGATGAGATGGTTTATGGAAGAGTGCTTTGCAAACCTTTAAATGTTCTTATTGTCATGTTAGTATCATCCCTCTGAGCCTCCGATCATCTGGGGCTGTCAGAGCATCTGCATCCCCCCCCTAGACTCTCTTCATATGGACCACTGACTTCTCAGCTGGGCGAGGTCTGGTGCCTCTCCTGAAATCAGACCTAAAGAGAGAGAGGAGGCTGGAGAGCGGAGGTAGGGAGGTGCAGAAGGCCGGGCACCAGGGGGAGCCCAGGGGACCAGTGTCTGAAATCACACGCTTCCTGTCCTCCTCCCAGTCATCCAGGTTCCCAGCTCAGCTTAACGATCATATACTGAGTATGCATTGCTTGGCCCGGAACTGTGCAAGACACAAAGGTGAGACCGTCTCTACATAACGCCACTTTCTTCTGGCTCTCCTCCTCCCTCTCTGGCTGCTCCTCCTCTGTTTCCTCTGCTGAATCCTCCAGATCACAACCTCTAACTATGGGTGTCCCTCAGGCTCTGTCCTAGACCTTCTTCTCTTCTCCCTCTAGAGTACTTCACTTGGTGATCTCATCAGCTCCCATGGATTTAATGACTCTCTTTCTGCTGATGATCCTCAAATCTACCTATTCTGCTGTGCAACCTCTCTGCTGACTGCCAGTCTCACCTCTCTTTCAGACATCTTGAGCTGGATGTGCAGTAGGCATCTTAAACTCAAATGTCCAAAACAGAACTCCCTCTAAACCCTCTCCCCCTTCCTACCTTCCCTATTACTGTAGAGGGCAACACCCTCCTCCAGGATCCTCAGGCTCCCAACCTAGGAGTCATCCTGGACTCACTCTCTCACTCTCTCTCTCTCTCTCTCTCTCTCTCTCTCTCTCTCTCTCTCTCTCTCTCTCTCTCTCTCTCTCTCTCTCCAGATCCAATATGGTACCAAAGCCTGTCTATTTCACCTCTGCAGCATCTCTGGTCAATTTCACCTCCAGTGTTTCTCCAATACGCCCCCTTCTCTCCTCTGACGCTGCCCCCACCCTGGTACAGACTGTCATCTCCTCATGGCTGGCAGTAGCCTTTTAGGGACTTTGTCTGCCTCTAGTCTCTCCCCACTCCAGTCCATCCTCCATTCAGCCACCAAAGTTATTGTCAATGACTTGACCTCTCTCAGGATTTCTTTATATTTAAGTCTGGGATTTTTGTTTGTTTGTTTGAGTCTCAGCATGTTGTCATTGTTTCTTGGTCAATATATCCAAAGTTACTCTGAGTGATGATTCCTAATGGCCTGAAACCAGCTTGATTTCAAGCAAATTGAGCCTGAAGCCAGTAGGATATCAGGACTGGCCTGTTGGAGTCACAGCAGAGTCAGAGCCATCCCCAGTCAGTTACTGCACAGGGAGGTGGGGGCCAGGCAATATGTGCAAGATTGGGGCCTTCCTTGCACATGTATAACCTGTATCTGATTACCATCTTAGGGAGGGGAGAGGGGAGGGAGGGAGGGATAGAATTTGGAATGCAAAACTTTAAATAAAAATGTTTTAAAAATTGAAAAAAAAAAAAAGATTGGGGCCCTCCAAGAGGCCCGATACCAAGATCTGGCCAGGGCTTCCAGGGCTTCAGAAGGGAACAAAGCCAACTCCTGGCTGGTGACTGTGTAAGGAGAAGAAGGCAGAGATAAGGCTGAGGATAGCGCCCATATTGGGCCATCCCTGGGCAGAGGCAGAAACCAGGGATTATGGCAATGGGCAGGAGTAGATCCCAATCACCCCATCTAGAACTAGGATAGGGCAGCAGCAGAGGCATCCGGCCCACAGAGGAGACAGCACCAGGAAGGGCATAAACACCCCATCCTACAAGGCAATGGAAGTGGGTTTGGCCTTGGTACAAGGTCCCAATACAGGAACTCAGACTAGAAATTTGGGTACACAGAAGAAAATCCTGAACATAATGAAGAAACACTATGGGTTAAGAGAAACCCCAAAGGTAAATTCAGGAAAGCAGAGTTCTAAAACAAGTTCAAGTTGAGAGAGAGAGAGAGAGAGAGAGAGAGAGAGAGAGAGAGAGAGAGAAAGAGAGAGAGAGAGAGAGAGTGGCTTAGACACAAGGACTCCAAGAACAGATGGGAGAAATAAAGCAAAAATTTTTTAAATTAAATTAGAACTCTTGAGGAAAAAATTGGAAGAAGTACAAACAGCTTAGAACAGAAGATGGAAAACCTGACCCAAGTAATGAACTCTCTGAAAGATAGAATGAAATAAACAACTTGATGATTCAACGAGACAAGAAATATTAGAATAAAGTTGAAAGACTGGAAAATTAGAATGGGTTCGGTATCTACTATCAAAAACAGCTGATGTGGAAAACAAGCTTAGGAGAGAGAATTTAAGAATCATCAGACTCCTTGAAGACTATAACCAAACAAAAAAATCTGGACACCAATCCCAAGAAATCATAAAAGAAAACGTCCCTATCTTCTCAAACCAGAAGACAAAGTGAAAATAGAATATACAAGCCATCTCTCACAAGAAGCACCAACAAAAAAAACCTCTCAGGAACGTCACAGCCCAAATCCAGAGCTTACAAGGTAAATAAAAAATATACTGCAAGGAGCCAAAAAGAAAGAGTGGAAATACATAAGGAACCAGAATCAGGATCGCACAAAACTATGTTGCAAACACCATAAAGGAGAAGAAATCTTGAAATACGATACTACAAAAGACAAAAGGAAGAAGTTTTGCAGCCAAGAATAACTTTTCCTATAAAACTGAGCTATAATCCTATGCTGGTGGGAAGTGAGGAATAACTTTTAATAATAGACTAGAGGACTTTCAAGATTAAAAGTTTTAAGATTTAAAAGATTAAAGTTGGGCAGATTCTTTGAAATGTAAACACAGGAGACAAGAGAAACCTAGAAAGGAAAATATATTTGAACAATTGGAATAAATCCATTTGAACAACTGAATGATGACCAAGGGCTTACATTCTAATAGAAGGAGAAGAAAAAGTGTCCCTTCAAAATCCCACTGTCTTCAAGGGTCACAGAGAGAGTTAAAAAGAGACCTAGGGATAGTTTTGTTCCATTTTGTTTGCTTTTAAGAGAGAAATAAAAAGGGAGGGGAAAAGGAATACTAGAGAAGAATTTAGGAAAAGGGGTAAGAATTCTGTTTCTCATAGTTGAGGTACATCAAGAAGCATACAAATATGGAGGAGGCTATAGGGAGAAGAAGCATCTCATAAACTTTACTCTTCTCTGAACCAGGAAAGGAGGGTTGACTGCACACACAGAAAGATTGGTGTAGAGATGTATTAAATTCAATAGGGAAACAGACAAGGGCAGTGAAGGAGAAGAGAGAGTGTTTTAATAAGAATGGAGTTAGGGAAGTAATGGTTTCAAACAAAACAAACATCAGCTTTAGAGGGTGAATTATAAAATGGAGATTCATGGGAAAGAAAGAAAGTATAAGAGGTTATGATGGAAGGAACAACATGATTAACAGCCATAACAATGATTGTCAATAGGATCGATTCACCTACAAAATAGAGAAGGGTAGTAGAATAGATTGGAAAGCAGAATCCAACAAGAACATACCTTAAACAAAGACTCACAAGAAGTTAAAACTCAGGGATAGAACCAAATGTATTCTTCCATAGGTGAATTTTTAAAAATAAGCTTGGAAATCATGATCTCAGCTGAGGCGATTGTAAAAATGGGCATGGTTGAAAAGAAGATAAGATAAGCAGGGAAACCACGCATATATGATGGAATAATGTCAATACTTTATAATATGTGTATGTATTTGCCAAATAGCATGGCATTTAAATATTTAAAAGAATCAAATTATGGCAAGAAATAGCAAAAATCACCAATAAAGTTGAGGACCTTAATATCCGTTTCTGACCTAGACAAGTCTAACAAAAAAGGAAAAATATGAATGCTGTTAAGGATTTTAGAAAAGTTAGGTATGCTAGATCTCTAGTGATTACTGAAAGGGAATCAAAAGGAATATGAAGGACTTTAAAAGTCAAACAAAGGATTTTATATTTGATCTTGGAGGTAATAGGGAGCTATGGACATTTATTGAGTGTGGGGGACAGGGGAAGGTGACATGGTTAGACCTGCATTTTATTTTTTTCCCAATTTTTTCACATTTTTGTTTAAAGTTTTGAGTTCCAAATTTTATCCCTCCCTTTCCTCCCCCCTCCCTGATATGGTAAGCACTCAGATATAGGTTATACATGTGCACATATGTAAAACATTTCCATATTAGTCATTTTGTACAAGAAGATTAGAATAAAAGAAAGACAGTGAACACGAGCCTGCTTCAGTCTGTCTCCAATCAATATCAGTTCTTTCTCTGGAGGCAGATAATCTGCTTCATCATTAGTCTTTTGGGATTGTCTTGGGATCACTGTTTTGCTGAGAATAAAGAATCCTGTTCATCAATTCTTTTTTTTTTTTTTTTTGCTTTTTTAGTGAGGCAGTTGGGGTTAAGTGACTTGCCCAGGGTCACACATGTGTCTGAGACTGTATTTGAACTCATGTCCTCCTGACTTCAAGGCCAAAGCTGTATCCACTGCGCCACCCAGCTGCCCCCTTCATCACTTCTTATAGCACAATAACACTTCGTTACATTCATATACCACAGCTTGTTCAGCCATTCCCCAATTGATGGGCTTCACCTCAGTTTCCAATTCTTGGTCACCACACAAAGAGCTGCTGTAAATACTTTTGTACAGGTGGGTCCTTTTCCCTGTTTTAGGATGTCAGACTTGCATTTTAGGAAAATCACCTTGACAGCTGAGTGGAGGATGGACTGAAGCAGGAAGAAAAGACGTAATCTGGCAAGATCCTTCACGAGCTCCCCCTTGTTGGTTAGAAACCACCCAGCCTGGACATGATGGAGTGAGGCCTGAACTCACACAGCTGGTGAGTGATGAGCAGATCCCGGTGTTGCCCCTGACTCAGAGGGCACACGCCTCATGAATCAATGAATGAGGCACATGATTTTCAGTCGTGTGCTCCAGACCCCAAGCTCTAGGGAAGCTCATGGGAGAGAGAGACTAGCAGGGACCGAAAGACCTGGGAAGGCTTCCTGGAGGAGGAGGATGTGGGCTGGACCGTGGGGGTACGGGTATCCTAGGGAGTGTTTGTGGGGGGCGCAGTGCACGTGAAGACGAGGAGTTAAGAATGGGTCTGGGGTCGATGCTGCCTGAGGCTGAGGGACACAGCCATGGGAAAACCTGACGGGAGCGCAGCGCCGGGCAATCAGCTCTTTAGCTCTGCCTTCTCCAGAGCCTCAAGAGTCAGGAAGGAGAAAGGGGCAGCGATAGAAGGTGGGGCAGTAGGAGTGGGGACCGGGAATTCCAGTCTGTGTGACCTTGGACAAATTTGCTACCATCCTTGGGTCTCGCCTTCCTCCTCTGAACTGTGAGGGGGCTGGGGAAGTAGTCCCCAAGGTGCTCCCAGCCCCGCCCTTCTGTGACTTGGCTGGGGCGGGGCAGCAGGGAAGGGGTTAAGCTGTAAACTCTCTGGCTTTGTGGATTATTTCTGTGAGGTGCCAGCAAGCTGCCGTCATCGGCACAGAACTATGATTTCTCTGATGCGCTGCTGAGGTCAGAAAGGTGTGGGGCAGCTGCCAGACAGAAGCCGGCTCCCAGGGCCAGAGAGGAGCCCGAGGCAGAGGCAGAGGGGGACTGGGGGACTGGCAGGAAGGGGGCAGCGGCTCCTGCCACTGCCCCGCTGTCCTCCACCCCATTACACCCCGCGGGACAGTCGCCTTCAGTCCAGGTTTAAGAAGGCTGGGGACAGACTACAGAGGGGCAACCAGGCTGGGGAAGGGCCTCCAGGCATGTTGTGAAGAGGATGTGCTAAGGGATCCTGGATGCTGGGGATGGAGGACGTGATGGCTGTCTCCGAGCTTCTGAAGGAAGAGCTGGTTTGTCCCCCTTTGCCTCTCCCATCTTTTTGCCTTGTTTCCTGCTGCTCTTGGGCACTGCTCCCCCCATGGCTGCCAGCCCTGGGTCTGAAGCCCCTCAGCACTGAACACAGTCTGACCTGTAGCCACAGAGGTCCTTGTCCTGGAGACCAGGGCAGGTTCTAGGTGCTGCCTTTGTGCCCTAGGCACCCGGCACAGCCTTGCCTGGCTGATACTTAGCGAGTGTTTCTCCATCGGGATTTTATCGGCATCTCCTTAAACATGAGGAAACTGAGGCCCGCGGAGGGCCAGTGACTTGCCCACGATCCTGCAGCAAGTCCTTGGTTGAGCCTGGACCAGAACCCAGGCCTTTGAGCTCCCAGCCCAAGGTCTCGCAGTGGCCAGGCTCTTTCCTCACCCTGCCAGACAGAAGTCCAGATCCGATGGGGCAGATGGGAGTCTCCATCCCTACTAGCACTCGAACACCCACAGGCACACAGTCCCTCACCCATGGGCACACGCACACCTGTGAGCACACACTATCACACCTACGGGCACACTCACACCCTGTGGGCACACACACACTCCCATGGGCACACACTCCCTCACCCCTGGGCACACACACCTACGGGCACACCCTCATACCCTGTGGACACACACACAACCATGGGCACACACTCACACCCCATGGATGCATGCTCTGCGTGACCAGCAAGGAGGGGCTTTTCCCCCCTTCAGGCTTAAGATAAGACACTCACAACTGGGGTCACTGCTATAGCTGGAGACAGTCCGGAGTGGCAAGAGCAGGAGCTATAGGGAGGGGAGCTATGGGGAGGCCAGTCCCTCCTTGTCTGGACCCAGAAGAGACAGGCTACTGCCTTGCTCCCTGGTCTCCCTCAAGACTCGTCTCTAACCCCCAAATCCAACGTGCTGGTTGGTTGGCGCTTGCCTGTTATGGAGATGAGGACTGGCCAGGACTGGCCTGTGATTTCCATTGGTATCAGGAACTCCCAGGTGAGGAAACTCTCTCTACCAATGCAGGTATCCCCTCTCTGCAACTTAGAGTTATGCAGAGCCCTGAGAGGAAGACCTGGGTACAAGTCCTGCCTTGGGAACCTCCTGGCTGTGGGGCCCTGGGTCACCTCTCAGGGCTCTAAAGAACTCTCGGCTGCAGAGGGGGCCTCGGTGTCCTGCTCGCAGCTTTTATCTCCAGGGTGACTGTGGCCAAGTGACCCAACCTCACTGCTGACCACATCCTCCTCTCTAGAAGGTGTGTAATAGCCACCCACTCAGCTCCCACAGTCGTGGGGGAGATGGATGAGGGGATGCTTGGGAAGGCCTTGGGACGGAGTAGGGGCTTAATGAGTGCTTGTCAGGTCCACACACACCTACATACACATATCCACACACACGCTCACACACACAGGCACATTGTCTCACAACCATGGGCACGGGCACACATACACACACATACCCGTGAGCACATACTCTCACACCCATGAGCACACACACCCATGGGCACACACACACAGGCACACACACACAGGCACATACACACACACACACACACACACCCCTACACATATCTACACCCACACTCACACACACCTACTTATACATATCTGCATACACACTCACACACACACAAACACACGTATCTACACCACAGCTATACTCACATACACCTACCTACACATATCTATACCCACACACACCCACAGGAACATACTGTGACACCCATGGGCACATGCATGTGCACACACACACACACCTGTGAGCACACACTCTCACAGCTATGGGCACATACCCACACACTCACAGGCACATACTCTCACACCCATGGTCACACACATACACACCCATGGGCACATACACCCCCCCATAGGCACACACACACACCCATGGGCACACACACCCCTACACTCACACCCCCCCCCAGACTTATCCACATCCACAGCTACACTCACACATGCTGTTGGGAGAATCACGTGAGATCACGGAAAGCCCTATTCCAATGTCAGTTGTTATTCACGGCCTGTCAGCTCAGCCTAACAACTGTGAAGTGAGTTGCACTGACCAGTCAGTTGCGTTACAAAGGCCAAAGCTGTGTGAAGGCAGCCCAGCCCGGCCCATGCCAGGGAGAGCATCCATGCACCATTTGTCACCATTGTTAACCCCTTAGCTACCAGGTAACCCAGATGGGAGACAGTGGGGACAGCTGACACCTGATGGGGGTGGGGGGTGAGAGGAACAGAAGGAGGGCTGGTCTGGGCAATCAGAGCCAAACTTTGCTGGCCTCCTATCTCAATGAGGAAGGCCAGACCCTGCTCCCAGGCCTCCCCATCAGGAAGCTCTAGACTTTGCCCCCTGCCCCAGCCTCCTCCCCTCCTGCTCAGGACCAGCAGAGAGCCAGCTCAGACAAAGAGCCCCATGAGCGCCCCTACTTCTGGGCCAACAAAGGCCAGCAGCAGACCTGGGCTGGCAAGGCCTGGGGAGTGAAGGAAGCCCTGTGCTAGAAAGAAGGGACGCTCTATCAAGCAGGAGGCTTGGCCTGGGGGCATAGGCTCCAGCCTTCCTCGGTTTCCCAGTTTGTACCATGAGGGAGCTGGACCGGACAAGCCAGGTTCTAGGTCCTTCCCAGCTCAGCCATCCTAGGGTCATTCTCTGAGAAGGGGGGAGAGGGAGGTGCTGCCTGTGAGATTCCCCAGTGGAGGGTGATGCCCAGGAGAAGGGCGTGTCATCTGCTCTGGGTGAGCAGGGGTAGGGAGGGCCCGGAGCCCGGCACCTTACCCTATGACGTAGATGAGGACCACCAGCTGGATGAGGCGGAAGATGACCCCCACCTTCTTGTTACGCACCAGCACCATGCGGGGAGTGTCATATTCAAAGAAGAAGGCCGACAGCTTGGTCCTGATCCTCCCCTGCATGTTGGCCTGGCGGGGTCCCAGCCCGAGGGAGCCTGGGGGGACCCTGGGCCAGCTCGTGTGCCCTCCTCAAGCAGGCCGGGACTGAGGGACAGATGTGGACAGCCTGTGGGTTCCTTGGTTTGTTGGACAAATAAATTTCCATCTATAGGCACAGGAGGTGGAGCCGCGGGGGCGGGTGATGGGGGGCCTCGCCCTCCTGGGGCCTCCCAGGCCCTGCCGAAGCAGCTGCGGCGGCTTGCCCCAGTCTCCCAGCGGCCAGGCCGGCTGGGGCCTCTTGGCAGCAGGAAGCCGGGGCTGTCAGACACAGGAAAAGAGCAGCAGGCTTCGCAGCTGGGGCAAGATAAGACCGTCCTAAGAATAGGAACATCTCAGGAGGCAGTGGCCCGAGAGCCCGAAGCCCGCCCGCCAGCCGGCCGTCACTGGTCTGGGCCTGGCACAGCCCGGCACTGGCCCCTCCACTAGGAGCTGCCGCCCCCACTCCAGGCTCCACCACACCACCCGCCTGCCCTCCAGCAGCCCAGGGCTCCAGATTGAACTCAGAGAGGAAGTGGGGAGGCTTCCTGAGTCCTGGGCTGATGCCAAAGGACCCGGTTATCAGATGGACCAGCACAAGGCTTGCCAGTGGGCTCCCGAGCCTTGTGCCCAAGGCAGAGTTCAGATTTAGAGCCAGCACTTCTGGGTCCACATCCTGACCTTGTGACTGACGAGCGCCGTGACCTCGAACAGATTCTTCTACCTGTCTATAAAATGCGGACAATCATCTCTACAGGCCTTACCTCACCTGTAATGGGCTGGCACACACCACTCTGGGCATCACCCTGGTGCCCATTTCCTGCCACCTTCAGGCCCTCGCCATGGACAAGCTCAGGTGGTACAAGTCATACCCAGGTTGGCACCTCTCTTACAGCTCCAACCTTGGCACCTGCCCCACCTGTGAGCGCCCCATCCACAATGAGGCCACGACTCAGGCTCCAGTCTCGAGAACAGCAGGCAGACAGACTTCCCTCCACATTCGCGGTTCGCGTGCTGCCCAGCCAGGTCCTGGCAGCATTCTCCGCCCTATTTTGCCATGCAGGGACCCAGGGAAGTCCCTCCATGCCCCCTGGTTGCCTCCCATGTCCCTATTCTCTGTGCGACCCTGAAGCCAAGTGGCAGGGAGGAGGGAGGAGGCGTTTGCCAAGACAGTTACTCATGAAGCCAGCCCTGTGCAGGTGGTCAGACCCAACTGGGGTGTTTGGGCTCAGAGATCGCCCAGGACATCCTTTCCCCTTCCAGACAAGGAAATGGAGGCCAGATGCCCTGGTTATGCTCCGGGGGTGCCAGAGCAGGAGCCCGCCCCAGGCAGGGGCTCCTCCCACCATCCTACTGCCCCCCAACATTTCTGCAGGACTGCAGCTTCGCTATGATGGCATGGGGGGCGCTGGGAAGAGAGGATTTAGGAAAATCCCCAAATATTTTAGCAAAGTTCATTACAGAAACGTGTGGAAGGCAAGCCGAGGCCTCAACAGACAGGCTTGTCCAAGGTCCCAGAGAGATGAGTGTAAGGCCGGCATTCAAAGCCCAGCTGTTCTCCCCTGGGGGAGGCCCCATCCCCAAAGAGAAAGGACAGTAAGCAGCCCCTGCAGTAGAAGGTGAATAACTCCCTCCCTCCCGTAGCCCAGGGGTGCACGTGCTGGCGGGGTCTGGACGATGGGGAGGAAAACCCACATTAACCGAGGAAGCATTGTCCCGGGACCTGCCCAGCCCGCGCCCCAGCACTGCATGACCCCGGGCTAGACAATTCCCTCCCCCAAGAAGCCTTCATCTGCTCATCTGTAACTCGAGGGGGCTGATGGCCAGGTCCTGCCAACTCTAAAATCCCCTGATTTTAGATCTGACCGAGGACCCCCAACCACAGCCAATGAGGGGTCTCCAGCCTTGGCTTAGAGTCTTCCAAGGAGGGGGGTCGCCACCTCCTGAGACCCTCCGGGCGACTTTGGGGCTGCTCTCACTTTTGGGAAGGATTTCCTGAGATGGAACCTTGTGTACCTTCCCCATCCTGCCCCTGGTTCCATCCTCTGAGGCCAGAACAAGGCTCAGCCCTTTTTACATCACAGCCGCTCAAAGCCGCTCAAAGATGGCATTCATGGTGCCTCCCTAAATAATTGAGGATCCCAGGCAAGCCCAGCTGACTCGACCCTCCCTGGGAGCCTGTGGTCCAGGGCTCAGAGGGGCAAATAGCATTCGGGTTGGCTCCTGCTCAGAGCAGCCAGGCCTTCTAAGCCCAAGGGCCTGGGGAGGAACGGGCAGCTGACCTCGGGCTCTGAGAGGCCCTTTTAGGGAAGGCCTGGGAGCACCTGCCAACGGCCGGGGCCTCGGGAGCATACGCAGGCTAAATTTAACAGGGCTCAAACCTCGGGCTGCCAGGCTTGCCAGCCTTCCCTCCCCGTCAGGGAGCCGGTCAGAGTCTTCCCACAGTGGGTCAGACTGCCGCTTCAGTGCGAGTGCCCTGACATTCCTCCATGGCGCCCTGGTTGGAGGCAGCGATGGCGGTGGCGCATTCTTTCCTGCCCAAACCTCCCCCGTCTTTGCCCGCCCTGGGTCTGTCCTTGGCACCATCCCAGCCATCCCCCTAGATGAGGGGCTTCAAGCCCAGGAGTCCTCTCCGTTCCGAAGCAGTCACCGGCTCTCTCCCACCTGTTCCAGTCTTCTAGGGAGGCCATCGAGAAGCTGGCGGGCTTCCAGAGGGGACGACCGTCTCGGTGAAGTGCCTCAGGTCTGCGCCACCCAAGGGCTGTGTGAGGAAACTGAGGCACCGAACCCCAAGAAGAGAAGGCTGAGGGAGGAGGCGGGGAAGGGAGCCTGCCAGGATCTTCAAGGAGGGAAAGATTCTCATGGATGGGAAGAGGGTTACATTCGTTCTGCCGGCCCCCCACGCAAGGATCTCCGTGCAGCAGAGCGGGGGAGGGGCCGCAGAGAGCTCGACTTAGGCTTGAGGTCAAGACCAACGTAAGAATGGGAGCGCTCCCAGATCCCAGATCCCAGATCCCAGGAGCCTCTTCCATCTCCTTCCAGCGTGGGTCAGGGGGACCGTAGGAAAGGAGCCCAGCACATATTGAGGGACAGCTGAGGCTGTGGGAAGGTGTGGCCGCGGGGTCTCTTCTGGGCACCCCACCCCCAGGAGCCCTTCCAGACCGGGGCCCCCAGAGCAAACCCAGGCACCTGCCCCTGCCCTCCTCCCTCCTTGGAGAGACAGACACAGGCCCTCCAGCGGCCACCCACCCCTTCCCTTCTGGCCCTTTCCCAGCTCCCCATCACTGGAGGGCTGCCTCCGTTCATGGGTGCACAGCTATGGGGCCTCCTGCTGGTGGCTCCCTGCTCTTCTTTCCCTCATTTCATGGGCAGCATGGCCTGGTGGCCGGCCTCCTCTGGTCCTTCCCCTCCAGGCTTTCTTGGTCATCTGGATTGCCAGGCTTCCAGGGAGGAAGGAATTCTATTGATAACTCTTCTGCAGAGAGAGAAGCCTCAGGACACAGATCGCTCAGCAGACTCCCAAGGGACAGGCAGAGCTTTCCCCTGCTGGGCTGGAGACCATTTCTGGGTGTGATTAATAGTCAGCAGAAGCGATCCGAGGCTCCTCAAAGCTGGGGCGAGCTTACCGCTTTTCCCCTTGCTCAGAAGAAACTACTCTCTCCAGTGACCTCTTAGCGGCCAAATCCAACGGCCTTTTCTCATACCTCTTTCTCCCTGGCCTTTCTGCAATCTTGGACACTGTGGGTCACCCTCTCCTCCTGGATAGTCTTTGTTCTGGGTTTTCAGAACACCCCCCACCTTGTGGTTCTCCTCTCTCTCTGACAGCTCCCTTCTGTCTGCTTGGCTGGATCTTCATTCACATCCGGGGCAGGGGGTGTCCCTCAGGGCTCTTTTCTGGGCATTCTTCTCTTCCTATGTTCTCTCTCAAGTGGTGATCTTATCAGCTCCCATGGATTCAGTTATTATTTCTATGTAGATGATTCCCAGGTGTGTGAGTGATACAGACACAGACTTTGACATAGATATAGGCATAGGCACAGATATGGAAATAGACAGACATAGGCACAGACATACACTTAGACATACACATACACATACACATACACATACACATACACATACACATACGCATAGACATAGGCATAGAGATAGACATAGACATAGGCATAGGCACAGATATGGAAATAGACATAGGCATAGGCATAGGCATAGACATAGACATAGGCATAGACACAGACACAGACACAGACATAGGCATAGACACAGACACAGACATAGGCA